TTACAGAAATCTGTAAAGGTTCAGCAAAAGTTAAAATCTGTATTTTTGCCAAATTATAAATCCTATGTTAATGCATGTGGCCACGTGTATGAGATTTAACAATACTTATTGTACACACAGTCATGTGTGTTGTGTGGTTTTGCCCTTTAATAAAGTGGCCTCTACTCTCTCGCTCTCCGACTCACCCAGCTGAGAGCCGACGTTCCAAAACTCCTGTGGGTTGTAGTTGGACGAAGACGTCCTGGAGGCTGCTGGGTAAATCCTGCAGAGGAACTTCTGGTTGTGCTGAACAAAATCTGCACCTGAGAGAGTCGAAAACGCAAAGTTCAAAAAGGTCAGACGTCTCCTCTCACACATTAACGTGTTAATGAGGGTTCATGAGTTCATTCTGAACTATGTAACGCTGTGATCCAGTGAAAACAAGTGTATATCTAGCTCGGCCAAGGAAATTCTGTTTTCACCCCTGTCCATTTGTTTGTTGGTTTGTAAGCAAGATCAAACTAAAACTAGTTTGAGGATGTCATTTAGGTCAGGGAGGAACCTATTAAATGTGGTGAAGATCTGGATGGGGATGGGTGTTTTTCAACATTTTATTGATTTCCCAGGGAATAATTCATAGAACTTGATGAAAAATATCATGCACATTTGGGGAACCGATATTTATTATTGTGTGGTGCAGCATGATTGAATTTAAAGAGACTTAGCTTTTTTGTTTCATCAACTGAAACAGGATACTGTAAATGAAATCATTTTAGTGATCAAGTGTTAAACGGATCAGGTTTCCACTCCTGAATAACTATCTTCATTCTGGATAGACATGGAAAAAAACTTGCACACACCACTGCCTGTATGTGATCGTTCCTCTGTGGGCTTTGACAACGACAAGAGACTACAGGTTTTTTTTACAGCTTCACAGTAGCTGAGGCTCTTCATTGTCCCTGACAACCAGGCTAACAGGCTCATAATGTCTCTCAGTGACTGAAAAGTGTAATTTCTCCTCAGCGGAAACAGATTTCATCTCTCTACATCACCGTGCTTCTCCAATATACTGCTGCACAGCAGAGTGATGACAGTTTAACTGAATATCAGTTGATCCAGACCTCTGTGGGCTCTTTTTACTTCCCCAACAGTGGGAATATTTCTGCTTCATTCCCTGAATTGTACTCCCCTATGTCGTATATGTCATGTTAAATATGCATTTACTATTATGGAGTTTTATGGCCTTGGGTGTAATTGGATTTCTTGTCAAAAGAGGGACTTTGAGCTCAATGTGATAATAAATCATGTGAATCCACTGGGCTCATCGAAATGATATTTTCTAATACTTAGCTCCGTTTCATGATTTCAGATCAATAAGTGACAATTTACCTGAGGATCTGGCGAGCTTGCATGCTTTCTTCTCTGCCAGAGACGTGTTCTCGTAGCAGCTCTGATTGTCCTTAGAGTAACTGAAGCTGACGAACTTGACAGACGTTGTGTAAATGACCAAGTCAGATAAAACTTTGGCCACCACCACCTTCTTCGAATCAATTGAGGATAGAGAGGAAGACAAACCAAAGATAACATTCATCAAACAACAACGAGAGTTTACATTTAAATATTTTCAAATATGAACCTTTTATTCAAAATCTCTCTGCGTCTCAACCTGTTCTTGCCCTGACTTACTTTCTTCTTTGGCCCTGCCTTTCTCGCAGACCAGAACTTTGACGTGGTTTGAAAATCCTCGTCTTCTTCATCCTCCTCATCACCATCCTCACCTTCATCTACGCTCTCCTCTATCTCTGTCCCTGATGCACCTTCTGCCTTATTCTTGAGCTTTTTATTCTTGATGAGGATCTTATACTTCAGGTCCTGGCATTCCCACAAACACACATATACTGTGGTATGAATTCACCTCGAAATAAATAAATGATTAACTTATCCTGGCACACGCATTCACATCCAACTTATAAAAACATCATATAGCTACATCACTGTCCCTGTTCCCACAACCTCAAACTTAAAACACAAATTTCAAAATGCTCCTTTTGCATGTTTGTTGTTAATCTTTATTGGAGAGCATGGTATTTTAGTCTGAGAGCAAGAATTATTGATGTATCATTCACATTGTGTAATGCTTTCCATAAAAAACTTGCACCTGATCTCAGGTTTCCATGCTTGTGCTCAAACTTTGCCGCTTGGACTTCCTGTGCCCCAGCGTCAGCTCTTTTCCTTGATGTCATGCTGCTCCTGTGTACGCGTGCACATCTGCTCTTGCACTTTCAGATATTCATAATAGATATTTTCTTTTACACTTGAATTTACAAGTCTGTCAAAATTCCCCAGCCAATAGAATGCCAGGTGTAGTGTTGATAAATATTATCAAAGCACAAGCAGGGGCTATTTGAGTGCGAGTCCTTGGCTTTCAGTGAGAGCATTACAAAATCTAAACGGGAAATCGATAAGTCCTGCTCTCAAACGGAAAGACCACACTCCTGGATAAAGATGGAGGGGAAAAAACAAGAAACTACCCCTCTATGTTTTGACACAAAGTCCTTTAGATACATTCACATCACACAGCCAGGCATCCCATTATAAAGAAGGAGAAAGCAGCAGGTGTATCGAATCACTGAACCACACATCTGCTGCTGCATTTCACCACCGCAGCTCCAAATCTTTTGGTAATCTATAGGTCTCTCTACGCAGATGAGCAGCAATATGCTGAAATTAAAAAAACATTGAGGTCTCACATTTGGAAGCAGCTCTATGGTGATCCACACCACAGGAAGTCACACATAATGCATGCACAGGCAAAATATGCAAAATAATTACAGATCTGCCGACATCAACAACCTGTAAGAGTCCATATAGTATGGAAATTACAAGCTTCAGAGCTTCTTTTGGCTCTGCACACTTTCATTTTTCATTGCCGTTACACAAAATGACAGTCTGTAGAGCTGGGATAGAGACTTTGCTTATGCTGGTGTAATTTAGGATTTCACACCAGGTTCTTGAAGAGAATTCCATCACATTACAACAGTACATGGCCTTATTTTTGTTTGTTTGTAAGCTTAAAATGGGAGGTAGCACCATTGTCTTAAGTTTAACTGTTGCACCTTCTCCATTCAGAAGCACCAAGGTCGACCAAACTAATGCTTCTGGATGTATCAAGATCTTGGATGAAAAATAGAGGTGACTGGGCCTTTGCAGTGGCTGATCCTAATCTGTGGAACAGTTTACCTCTTCACATTAGAACCGCTCAGACCCTAGCAACATTTAAATCAATGCTAAAGACTCACTACTTCTCACTGGCTTTCATTTTAGTTTGATTTGGAGAACTTGATTTCATCTACTATCCTGCAATACTTAAAATATCATATATCTCATAGACTGAGAGAAAAGAGAAGAGTCATTTTGGCAGCAATCTCGTGGTGGAGTATAAAGTAATGAAAACTGAGTGGTAACCAATTTGTGTGAAGCTGCATGGATGTGACACTTGTGACATGAACAGTAACTCAGCATTGCTGCAGGTTCAGAGTAAAAATTAAACCAATAGCATAGAGGCTCCTATGTAAGCCCACCCTCCCTGAGTCATAAAGATAAATATATAGGGGGAAGAGATATTGTATGCACACTCAGGATAAAATAGAACTCGCTTGCAACAAAAGTAGCACAAGTCAGAGAAACTGGTGAGACACCCTCTCAGCGAAAAACCTTTTCATCCTCATCATGTTCAACAGATGCTCCTGTTTCAGATTAATCGAAATCAACAAGTGCTTAAACATGTTCAAAATGACGGACACTTTTTGGGATCAATCGCTTCACATTAGATTTTGTGAATCTCTGCCAGATTAAAGAGGCTCGCAGACGTCCACCCTAACGTCCCAGAGGAGGAGAGAGGCAAAGGAAGCCTCAGAGAGAGACTAATGAGGCCCTCTGTGGTGATGAAAAGGTCTTGTTTCCCATGTTTCCTGTGCTACATGACAGATGTTGAGGATCCATGCATACAAACACCATTATCCCTCTATATGCAGCAGCGGCTCGAACATTAAACACACATTTAGCTTCATAGTCGGATAGCCAGTGCTTCCTCTGAGTCTTACATTTGGGCTTGGGAGGTCTCCAGTGGTCAGATGATCCAAGGGAGCTCTCAGCAGCTTCTCCCCAAGGATAGAGATGAGGTACTGGGCCATGACCTCTTGCTGCTCCTTGGAGCAATGGTTTTCCAACGACAGGATAACCGGGCAGGCAGACACCTGTCAAGAAATAATCATGCCTGATAAAAAAAAAAAATCCAATCCCTTATTTCTAACAATTAGCATCAACCTTGACACAGAGAAGAAAAGCTTTTCTATCAGAGCAAATGCAGCTCTATCAGGGTGGACACTGAGGTCAATGCTTGTGGCAGCACTCGAGGAAATACATGCCGTGTAACATAGTGTGTGACGTTACCTCGAAGGCATGTTGCTCCACAGTTTTGATGACATCCCTAAAGAGAATCTTTGTGGTCAGTGTGTAGCCGTGGTAGACGACAGGCTCCATATCTGGTCCATCCCAGCAGTCAATCTCCAGACAGCGACAGCCTTTCCTCAGAGCACTGTGTCACACACACACACACAAACACACACACACACACCCACACACACACATAAATACAAACAGAGACACATGCACACACACTTAGCTGTGGAAAGGCTATGAAAAGTACCTCTAATGTACTGTGTGAGAAATGAAAAGGGAAGCGCTGAGAAACAAACTGAGCAATTTTCTCTCTAACTAAATCAAGGTATCACAACAATATCCATAAAATATTGTATCTGAATAATCCATAATAATTCTGAAATGTAATTATTTGTTACAACAGCTTTTGTTGTGCCATTTCTATCAGGTCAGGTTTATATATTACAGAATATAGAATATACAAGATATTCTTTCTGTTAGTGATTGCTTTCACAGCAGAGGTGATGAAAATAATCCCTATGCATGAGAAAAGTTACAGAAGAAAAAACAAACCACTCACGTCTTAATGTTCAGTCTGGAGCCAGAAGGTGGGAAACAACTAGCCAAGCTTAGCAAAAGACTGGAAACAGGGGCACCTGTCTACCCCCAATGTTCAATATGCCATAATTTAAATGTCACTAACACTGAAATGTTAAAATGACTTGTTGTATTGTAGTCACTCCGCTGAGACTTGACAACACAGGTGTGAGCTATCTACAGCTAATGCATACAATACACAGTTTAGAGTGTGGATACCCGACCAGAGCCCATTGGGAGCAATCCGGACCGGACAAGTCGGGCTAGGTTCCCACAAAAAATTATTGGAATTACACATGGGTTTGGTCACGTTGGCTTTGCCTTTTACCTGAATTCTTACGCCGAACATGCCGGTAATCAGGGAAACCATAAGGCTAAGGTTGGACTTGGTGAATTTTCTCTTGGGCTCAGTCAGGTGATGACAGAAAATCGCAGCCTGAGCCGTACTTCAGTACAGTTGGTACATACAGGAAAAAAAACCTTTGCAAAAACTGCTTCTTTGTCAAATTTTCAAGAATAGTAGAGCAACTTTAGAGAGACAAACTGTATCTATTCTTAATGCTAAGCTAGGTTAATCACCTATATGCGTTCATGTCTATGACATTACAGTAGTATGAATTATATGGTCTTTCAGGAAAATGGACGTTTAAAATTTTTTTTGCAGTGTTCATTATTTCAGTGAATAATAATAGTATACATTTCCTGTGTATGTATTTTTTATTTCTACATATAAAAACAAAGGGGGGGGGGGAATGTAGCAGAGTAAACGATGCCAGGACCCACATTTTACTCTAATAAGTCATCTAATTGCATCCTTACCCCTTATTTCTCACTTGCCAATTCAACATTTCAGAGGGTTTTTGTGATTCAAGTTTTCTTTCCAAAACTAATTTGGATATTTTACTTTCTTCACTCTTCCACCTGTGGGCTTAAGGTGTTAAAAACCCATCACCTGGCCCCTGCCTCTTCCCTCTATCCCCTCGAGGTGACTCTTTCATCATCTGCATAAACCAGAGCCTCCAGGCCGCTGGGTTAGAGCGTTCCACTCTGCCTGCCAGTCAGGTCGCTCAGCACTTTCACAGGGACCATAAATGCAGCACTTCTGCTGCCATCAGCCCCTTTTGTAATCACCTCCATTGTCCCATAAAGGGACCACAGCAATTTCAATGTCTGCCTCAGCACATGAGTGGGTCAATGACATGAGAGGTAAAGGAGATTATCCAGATAACACACAGTTATCTGGAGGAGAGACCTTAAAGAGAGGATCAGGGTGTGTGGAGGAGCATTTTAGATCTGTATCATTTTTAAATTGACCTTATCATTTGTTTTGACTGAGATCAAAAAGTAGATTGATGTATTATCCTGGATACAGCTGATGTTGGCTGATTGGCAAATTTAATCCATGTGCAATTTTATACATCGCACAGATTAAAAAGAGCTTAAAAGTTCATTCCTGACGATGTAATGGGGGTCATTTTCTCTGGCTGTGCTGTACATGCTGCACTCTCCTACCAAACATAAGCATCCAGGTGGCTTTTTCCTACGAGCTGGTCTCCAGTCAGGTAGGTGTTGTGTGATGAGGAGATGAAGTAGCTGGTGAGAGGCTGATCCATGTCTTGGTACACGGATGCGTGGGTCTGGTCGAACACGCAGCAGTCTTTGGACTCCATGTACCTGAGGAATCCCTCAAATGTCAAGCACCTGCTTTCTCTGGCTGGAGAAGGAGCAGAGTAACACTAAAGTCAGAATCCGCATCAATTCCTTTACCCACTGCAAAAAAAAAAATTAAAAACAGAGGCAGACTGCTGTGTTGCCACATTAAAACAAATCAAATGGAAAACAACGTTTTAGGCACATGCTAGTGTTTAGCAGATGTTTAACAGGAAGTGTTTACAACGGCCACCATCCAGCAAGTTAACCAGCTAACATATTAGCACAAGACACAGTGGGTTGGTGGGAATGTCAGTGTTGCAAGTATTTAAACCAAAGTCTTGAACTGCTGGGAGGACTAAGAAAAGTCACAGTAGTGACACAGTTGACATTGTTGCCACAGGGCTAACAAAGGGCTGATATCCAGAGTCAACCATTCACACTTAATGTTCACACTTATGGACAATTAGGAGTCTTTCATCTAAACTACTTTACTTTATTATAATGGTTATGATTTCAGCTGTAAAGAAAGACACATTTTCAATATTTTTTTTAGTCAAGACATTAGACATTAGAAAACAAAAGAGTAAAAGTATCCTTAGTCTGACATAGGTACTGTAAAACTCTTCCAACTAAATAATCACCTCAAAAGATCAGCAACATCACTGAAACAGTTCTTTTATGAAAAACTCAAAGGTACAAAACTGCAAAAACTTGAGATTAAGTGCCTGCATCTCTTAAAGACCAAAAATTACTGAGCCTAAAAAAAGTCATTGCAGGAAAAGCAAAGGTTTAATCGATATCATTAAAACTAATTGTAGATTCAAGAGCTCTCTCCTGTCACTGAAGAAGTACAATAAAGTTCTCAAGTACTCGTCCAATATCAATATAGCACCTTTAAGAAATATACAGTATATGGTATATGTATTTATACTGGTGCTACATGAGCTTTAAACAAGCTTCTTGATAACCTCTCATACTGAAAGATTGTACCATGTAGTGACAACATTGAGGTTATGCTGCAGCATTGACTAGTTGTTGTGAGCTTTGTGTTGTTTTCACTGTTTTTCTGTTTGTGGTGGTATAAATGATTCCACAGTGCACTGGGCCTGACACAACATCTGGTGTACTGGTCCACTGACATGCCTGATTCCTCCATTTTCCTTCTGTCATTTCAGCCTCCTGCCTCTGGGCTCATACAGCAAACCACTTAATCTGCCAGACACCACTGGAGCTCAGATCTGAACTTTTATAGCTAAATTGGTGTGATTACGTGACAAAGCTTTATAGTCCATCAAGACTATACAGTCATTTTCTTTACACATATAGTAATGAGCAGCATGCAGCCTGGCATGTTACACTGTTCTCCTTTCACTCACCCGTTTCCTCAATCTCATATCTTTCAATCAGACTCTCTGCCGTCTCTTGGTTTGCTGTGAGCTCCATCTGCTCCTTGTGGAGGAACCTGACGAGGTCACATGCAGGCAAAGTGCTCTGGCCTGAGGCGTAGCTTTCGTACAGATGCTGGATTTCAGCTCTCCTGGAGGAGGGGGGCTTGACTTTCTTCATCTTGCCCTGCACACACCATAATAACCTTTCAATCCATTGTCACTGATCCTGGAAGGTTATTCTTTCCTTTAGTGCTTTTTCATATAATGATCTTACAATTTTTCAGCAAGGCTTAATATTCTTCATGATAGTGAAGAAGGAAAAATATTGAATTTAAGTCAATTTAAGACACAATACTTAAAAATCACCTTCACCAAGGAAGTTGTGTTTTCACTCCCTGATGTTTGTTGGTTAGTTTATTGATTTGTATGTTTTCCAAGGTTACACAAAAACAACAATACAGATTTCCACAAAACTTGTTGTGTAATAATGTGCTTTGGATTCAGGAAGAACTGATTCAATTTTGGTGCGGATCGTAATCAGGAGGCAGATCCAGATTTCTTTTTTTCACTTTCTTAAACATTGTGAAATTTTTCAAAATGTCCGAAGAATTCTCACAGAATAATTCATCATTCTTGGATTTAAAAAGGGGGCAGTTGGGTCTTGGTGGAGATATGTGCTTTACTAAGTGCCTTTCTTGTTTGTAATGTCATGTTGGAGACATTAGACACAGCGCATCACTTGCACTCTATAAATAAACAGGGAATACTGAATAGCATTCTCAAACATGAGACACATCCCAGCATTTACCTGAATTTCTTTCTAACTCTGCATGAGAGACAATAAAAGAGAAGTGAGGGCTTCTCCCTTTCTCTCACCCTCCACCCATCTCTCCCCGACACCCACTGCATCTCTTCTATCAAATACTGCGACGTCTGTGGGACGTTCTCATTTCAGTTCCTCTCTGCTTCTTGTCATTCCTCTCAGTCGGTGAGACAAAAGTGTCTGTGACTTTCTCTGGCTTTGTGTGTGTCTCTCACCCTCCACACATTTCATTCCTCTGTTCAGCAACCTGTCATAGTTCATTCATATGCCTATAAGCCAGTGCTGCCTGCGTAACGTGCAGTTGGACGCCTTATCTGCTGCATCTGTCACCTCTGTGTGAGCGAAACAAAGCAACCAACCCTGCTCTGATCTTCATTAACCTGTCATGCAGTTGCAGAAACTGTATCTGAACCAAGAGATCCCTGTAAAGTGGTGCACTGTGTTTAAAAAAGCTAATAGTTGACCAGTGACACATGAAACATCATAGATATTACATAAGATATGATAAATGTCCCTCACACCCTGTACACTATTATTTCCCAACCTGGAAACCATTCTTACTGAGGAAGGGATTAGCTAAATACAACTTCAGTTGGACTGAAATGTTTAGCATTAACCTGAAAACGTAAAAAAGACATCATGTAAACAACAGCCTACCTCAAATATGAATGCTCCCTGAGCCTCTGTAGTGTGGGTGTTTAGGAGGTAAACAGGAAATCAGCAGATCATCAAAATATTTAAAGTAATCAGACTTTTTCCAGCAGGACTCTGAGGTAGTACACAAACTTGTTGCCATAGTAACAAGCATTGTGTTCCTGGGGATGCTGTATAACAGATCATAACTGCCTTACACACGACTCTTTCTGAAGTATGGCAGAGCAGGATTGTGTCTTCTACACTTTTTCCAGATATGAGTAACAGACTTGGTGGTAAAAAATGTATACACTTTCATATATTTTTACACTTTCATACATTTTTACTTTTGGAAACTGATCTTTTTTCCCCCAGTGTCCAAGCATCCCTTTTTACCAAGCCGGGTGGAGTCTATAGGGTTGGGGGTGCCACCACTGTCACCATCCACTATGTCTTGACTCCTAATGATTTTGTTGATCCCTTAATATTTTTTATCAATCAGGTAGAAATTATCATTCACCCCCTAGTTTTCATAAAAAATTCTTACATTGACTGAATTATGCATTTGTAGCAGGGCAATAATATGTGAAGCCAGATACAAAATAAATCATATAGCTCCTATATAATGAACTAAATGTATATTTTATTTGTGTAAATAGCTATTGGAAGTTATTGTAAGTTTTGCTGTAACGTCAAGCTCTGGTGCATTTGCCACAATTTTGCTGACATTTTATTTATAATGTCTTCAGTTCTTCTCACTCATAACTGCAACTCAAGACTAAAACAATATGACATATGTGACCACTGCTTTAAACCTCCTAAACATCAATATGTTAGTATTCTCATTTAAATGCATTGTGTAACAGCATGTTTGTGTGAAAGATTTGTGGAAGTGATCCTGATAAAGTAAATGCCCTTTGTCATTTGAATCTTCATCTGAAGCCCTGATATTCCAGACCAGGGTCCATGTATTCTCAGAAAATTGTGGCCACTATCCATCAGTTGGTATGTTGGTGAAAATCAAGATCCACATGTTTTTTTATGAAAATGTTATTAATGATAATGTTACTGTTGTATTTAAACAACCAATTGTAGATGTATGAGTTCAGTGACTGTTGCCTGAAGGACGTGTTGGGGTTTACCATGACAGCATGGTAGATTGAAGCAGTGGCATCTCCACTGTCTGCTGTAAGTGCTACTTGGTGAAATAAGCTGCTGTCAGGACGTCATGCAAATAAATGTCTGGGGAGACTTATTTCACTGGTACTCATGGTATGGAATAAAGTTCAAAAATATCAAAGCCTCAGTGGATGAAATGGCGAGTACAGAATAAAAAGGAATTTATGTATAAGTCAGTGATAGTGAAAGAAAAAGTCCACTGGTTCTGTTATGGCTGTTTTAACAAGTTAGACAGGAACTTCCTCTCTGGTTATCTGAGTAAATCTGAATGTTATTGGTGTGGCGTGAATCACTGGTGCACAACAATAGTTATTGCCTAGTCATAGTCCAGCAGAGTCATTCCTGTCCACCAGGCTGTAATGGTTTGGCCTGGAGCCTGTCAGAGCCATTGGGCAGACAAGTTTGATGTGATAATTCCCAGGCAGTGAACATGAAGCCCTGTATATGGCTCTTGTCTCTGCATCACTGCACCTCTCTCTCTCCACGGTTGGTTAGTTGGACTCATTTGGGAGCAGAGTGTACTTTTGTATGTATCTGTCAGTTTTTGCTTCTGTGATTCTGTGCATATTGGGAGGGTCGATGGTGGATAAAAGATCAGCTGTCCAAACATGTGTTTTAGAGATTCAACATTACACATGGAGCTTGGATGGACTAGCACATTACTGCACCGCCTGTGCTGCTCATTCTACGATGATCAAATCACTTGTCTTCGTATCAAAGTTTGATGCTCAGAGATTGTGGTTTGTGTTTGTTAACTCAGAGGTTAAGTTTCATCCTGCGGCAAAGGCATAACCAAAATGGCACTTCTCCAACTGCTTTAGATAAACCCAGCTGAGACACGTGCTCCTTCTTTAAATGTGACTTGAACTGTGACTGGAATAGGTGGGTGGGGGAAAGACCATGTTTCCTTTTGACAGTGTGTTTCCCAGTTGGATTTTCAGCGGCTCATTGGGTATTCTTTGGTCCATTGGAGTTTTCAGGGAGTCAGGGAGCAGAGTGCCAGTGGTAATGCCTGGTGTCAGGGGATAACTGGAAAACTGTGAGCTGTGAAACAACCAGAATTCTGGCACAGTCAAATATATTCATTCACTTGTAACTGCGTTGGACAGATACGTCTCAGAGATTCCCAGTCTTGTACCACAGGATGAGTCAGGGTGGTGAGGCACTTAAAGCAAAGGACTTTGAAACTGAGGCATCAAGACATCTTGCATCAAGTTCATTGTGTAAAATACAAAAACACTTCATTAAGATGTAAATATTGTAGTTCTGGTTGAATACCGGTGGTGCCGTGGTTTCTGGGACCTTTCTGTAAACAGTTTGCGTGTCCTTTTGTGTCTATGTGGGTTGTCTCTGTGTATTGTGGCTTCCTCCCAGACATGCAGCAGTTTATTGGAGACTCTAAACTGCCCGTAGATGTGAATGTGTGAATAGTTGTTTCTCTCTGTCAGCCCTGCGATATGCCAATGTCAGTGAGGATTGGCTCCAGCCCCCCTGCAATCCTAAAATGAGAAGTGGTAAAAGTAAGTCTTATGATAGATGGATGGATGGTTACATACAGATGAGCTACTGCTCGCAATCTTTACGTCAGTGTTGATGATTTGAAAAAGTTCATCGTCTTTCCCTAAACATTAGTAGTTGGAGTATATTTAATTAACCCACAGATACACTTAAACCCATCTCCCACACAGATGCTCATTGTCATCCACACACACACACACCCACACACTAACACACACACACACACAG